CTGAACCCTCAACAGTCTGCAGAATCCCCTCACTGATTACACTGTAAATGATAATCTACCTTAACCAAAATCAAAGTAGACTATCACTCACCCACACCAGATGGAAAACTCTACAGACTGTCGGTTCACACCCCATCACATATATATATATATATATATATATTGCGCTTTCGGGACATCTGTTAAAATTGGAACGATACAGAGAGAGAAGATTAGCATGGCCCCTGCGCAAGGATGACAGACATAAATCGAGAAATGGTCCAAATTGCAATGAGCCTCTTAGTTCAACACCATTGCAGTTAACGCAGCTTATGAATTCCAACAAGTTGTTACAAGAGCAATAAGAGTTCGGAGTCACCAGCGCACATCAGCGCATGTCATAGGTAACCAAACATCCAACATGATCACCCAGGCAAGTACCTTCTTCCTCCCTGCTCTTCTCTCTCTGTTGTATCACCCCTCCTTGCTGGTCTTCTCCCTAGCTTATGACCTCACTGAATCTTCTCTCCCTGCATGCATGCACACTCACACCAACTTCTACTCAAAGATCTACTCTGAATACACCCACTGTAACTCTACTAACTCTCTGAAGGCTACTCCTAGATACTAACACTAACACCCTGCTCTGGCGCAGCTATGGCTGCTTTCTCTCTGCCAGCGCTATCTTCCCCTCTCTCTCTTCCTCTTTGCGCAGCACTCTGGCTTCAGCGCTCTGCCCCTCACGTTAGTGCACAAGTGCACCAGCACTTCCACACTCTTTGCGAATGAGCCATCTGCCCGAATGGGAGGCTCTGGCCAATCCTTTTGTAGTCTTGGTTTGCACTTCAACTCTTCCCAGCCTCTGTTTCTTCAAGTTGGGTCCTGACTGGTTCCGGTACCACATCCCCACGGCCTGTCTGCTTCTGAATGTCAAGGGCTGGAACCTTCCCGAATTTCCATTAGACTGCTGCTGCTTGGGCCTTCGAGTCATGACTTTTCACTTGTTTCATGTTCTCGAGTTGCAGAGAACAATCCGAACTGAGGCAATGTTTCATGATTCGATCCGCCTTAAAGCCTTGCTTCCTATTGTCATTGCCATTGTAGCACGTGTGTAGCCCAGCCCATAAGGGTCATGCGGACTTGACGTCATCCCCACCTTCCTCCAAACATGACTTTTGACTGTGGACAGTGGCTCCTGCCTGTGGGTCACGACTTCTGCCTGTTATACTACCTTTTACTCGTGCGATGTGACTCTTCAATATGACTTTTCACTAGGAAACGGCTCTCCTGCCTTTGAGACATGACCTTTGCTTGGTGAA